ATAAGGGGTGACACTTTAAGTCAGAGAGACATAGGGTGTCAAAATCAGAAGCACTCTGAATGATCCGCTAATATCCCACAGGAGAAGTGACTTCCCAAGGCCATGTAGTAAGGTGGTAACAGCCTAGATCCTAGGTCTTCTCACTTCAAATCCATCCCTTTCCTACCATGCCATGGTTCATTAGCATGTTCATGGGGGTTAGTTTAACAGACTGCTTTCCAAATAAGAAGGAAACAGCAGGTCAGAGCCAGGTTGGCTCTGATGTAGGAGGTGGTAAAAGGAAGGTTGAACAAGGAGAGCACACCTTGGTATGGGGCCATATGGGGAGTTCTGGACAGTTAGGGCTGTGGGCATGGATGTTATGGGGGGAGCCAAAGGGCAACTAGCTGTGTGATCTTGGGCAAATCACTTAACCTCTGAGTCTCAGTTTCCTATCTACGGTGATAACCACAGGGACTGGAGGTGAGGCACTGTGAAAGGTTCTTTACACATGCTATGATCTTCATAGCAACTCTGTGGGGATCCCTCATTTTTAGAGATGAGAAACATTTAAGTGTAGAGAGGATGTTGTTTTAACTTGGACTGTCATAGCAAAATACAATAGGCTGGGTGGCTTAAACAGCAAATATTTATTTCGCACAGTTCTGGAGGCTGGAAGCACAAGATCAGGATGCGAGTATGGTTGGGTTCTGGTGAGGTCCCTCTTCCTGGTTTGCAAGCAGCTACCTTCTCGCTGTATCTTCACATGATAGAGAGATCATCTCTCTTGTGTCTCTTCTTCTAAGGGCACTAATCTCATCAGGAAGCCTCCACCCTCATGACCTAATTACCTCTCAAGGGCCCCACCTCCAAATACCATCACATCGGGGACCAGGGCTTGCACGTATGAATGTTGTAGGGTCACAAAACATTCAATCCATAGCAGATGATAACTTGTCCAAGAGTATGTAGCAGATAGTGGCAGAGCTTGGACTTGAACCCAGGTTAGTCAGACCTCAGGGCCAAGGCTCATTTCCCTGAGTCCATAATAGCTTGTTCAGTAAAAAGGCAAGGCCAGTGACCTTCAAGATCCATCACGCTCTAAAATTCAGTACTATAATTCTGCTGAATCCCTAAATCCTGATTGGGTCAGCTACTTTCTCTGAATATTGTTTATATCTTTCAAATAATGCTAGCCATCTGAGGTAACGATATCTGTTCTGTACAAAACTTAACACATTTCAGACCCTTGACAAAGATTAAAGAGGAGGCCAGACAAGTGGCATCTCTGGTTTTCAGGGAATAATGCACGTTCCATCTCTGAGGGTCACTTCATTCCTACTCTGAATCTAAGCACTCACTTAGAGCCATAATGGCGGGAGGAATTTATTCGTTTTCACACAACAGAATTGCCAAAGCTAATTACTAACAGATATGTGTGAGTGTTCGAGAAAGGGAACATCAGCTTATGGATTCAAAAGCAATTTAGTGGGTCTTTCTAGGCAAATCCTTCTCTAAAAATGATATCCATTTGGATTATCCCAAATACTTGATTATTTACCACCAGGAGATCTTGGTCATATCTCATTTAGGGATCCTCAGCTATGGTTTAAACCTACATCCGCATGCTGTCCACATGTGTGAAAAGAACATTTCTCGTAAAGACATTCAGCTTAGACACACCCCTTTTTCCTAGAGTTCTTCTTTGTGGCAGTTATTTCTGAAGTTCAGGAGGTAATACCGGGCCTATCATTTTTGCTTCACCCCTGTGACTTACCGACATATGTAATCATCATCCTGCCTTCCTGTTTGTTTTAAATTTAGAATTTTTCCTAAATAACAGCTCCAGAAACTCTCAAAATTACCTAATTAGTAATAACACTTTGCAAATGATAAAGAGCATTTCCCAGCTAGTTGATTCGGTTAGTTAGAGCAGGATGCTAATAATTAGGCCATGGCCACGGGTTTGGCCTCTGGCGAAGGTGTGACCAGGGTCTCAGGAAGGACCAGGAGACAATGTGGATGGCAGAACAGAGAGCCATTCCCACTAGAAGGAAAACAATATTGCTATTGGGTCAGTAACATCACATTGGGAGGACAGCATACCTTAAACAAAACAAAACAAAACAAAAACAAAAACAAAAGTAGGAAGGGAGGGAAAGAGGCAGGAAGGAAAGAATAGAAGGAAGGAATAGAAAGAAGGAAGGTAGAAGGAGGGAAAGATGGCAGGCAATTATTTAACTGTAGACAAGTTCATGGAGATAAATAGAAAAGAAAGAGTAACAGAAGGAACCGGAATCTGAAGCATGGCATGACCTTTAATCAGGGCTCTTACTCCTAGCAGGCTGTGAAGCAGCTTTGTCTTTACCTGCTCAATGGATCCCACAATGCTGATGCACTGCTTTAATTTGGGAAGGCTTTCTCTTGAGAGACATGTCTTTTCCAGCTCTAAGTATGAAGTGCTCCCAAGTGTGGCATTCTCTGTGACAGATGTACTGCAGTGATGCTTTAGCTGACTCCAAACTCCAAACCCATAGCTTCCCCGCGCCTGAGTGGTCTATTTGATGTCCAAGAGTGTGTTTCCTTTGAGAACATGTCTTTACCAGAATATCATCCAAGAAGGTAGGGAGGTATAATCCCTTTGTTCTAAAACAGCCATGGTTAAACTCTGGAACCCCATCCCCATGCCAGGGCTATTCTTTCCAAAGGTCTGAAAGGCATTTGCTGCTGTACATGGATGCCTTAGGCCTATGCCTTTGGAAGGTACTGCCTGAGAGTGACCTGAGAGGCCTCTCCTTTCAAAATCTTCTCCCAAGGTCGCTCCATTTTCAATGATGGCCCCAATTTCACGGGAGTTTCTGTAAAGAGAAGGAATTTCAAAATAATTTTCATAGCTCCAAGGAAACCCGATTGCCCGGCAAACCTCCTGTCCGGGGATGCACTTTTTCGAGAAGTCTCAGGGTCTTGTCAACAGGGTCCAACATGTGACTGGCAGGACCAGCCAGCTGCAGACATGTCCATTGGTGTTGACTATACGTGTCTGTTCCTCACTCAGGAAGCCTGGTCATTCTTCTCTGAATTCTAACCTTCCCACCATCAGACTCCATTCTTGAAGGGAGGCAGAAATGCGACCACGGGCCATTTCTGTTGGGACAAGTGCCACTTGTCTTCCATCCATTGTGGCTCCTCCCACCAGCACTGATGTCTGCTACAGGACACATTACTTCTCCAACTCTCTCTTGCCCATCCAAGACGAAGGAATTCGTCTTCATCCACCAGACAGTTTGTATCCTTACTTGGTGCGTTAAGATCAGAAAGGGTGAGAGTCTTGGCAAGAAGTCTTTTCCCATCATTCCTATGCCTATAACAACTCTTAAGAGTAGACAAAAGCTTACTGCTGTTGAAAGTCAGCCTCTAAAATTCAAGGAAATTCCCCCTCTTGGACTTAACACTTGCTTTTTTGCATTTTTACTTGAGATGACAGTCTAACTATTCCACTGCCTGGAACCTGAGGAAAGAAAAAGAATTTGATGGTTTTCTTTTCTTTATTAAAAAAAAAAAATGTGTTTGCTTATTGTCCTTTAATTGTAAATCATCTCTCAGCTTACTTTTCTTTTAGATAGCTTTCTGCCTTGAATTTGTTAATAAATGTCAGTTAATACTTGTTTAGTAAAGACAAACCATGAACAATCTAACAGTAATACTCAATACAGTACTGTGGCACAGTAGTTATTGATTAATTACTTGGGTCTTTTTCTTTGAGTTCTCTGAAAACTCTTCAAAATGCAGAGAGCAATATAATCCTACAGTTTGGTAAAGATGGGCTTATACATCTGTAAATGCTGACATGCTGAACACAATCTGTTCCTTAAATCCCTAAGCAAGAAGCAATCAGTACAGTAAGCTGATACCTGGCTTACAGAGGAGAAGGCAGGGTGTGAAATATCTATGCCCTCCCCCTGCCCCAGGCCATTAAGAACATTTAGACCATGGGGCAGAGTGTTTATTTTTCTAGTGCAACAGGTTTCAATGATGAAATGTAGTGATTTCAGACCAGACACAGACACAACACAATTTCCTTTTCTTTCTTTTTTTTTAAGGGATATGTATGATATATATTGCTGTTGTCATCCAAACCTCTTCTGATTTTATTTTTAAATCACATTTATTCCATTTTTTTTCATGCAGAAAAGTATAAGGAAGAAAACTATCCATCATCCCATTCTTAGAGAACCTTCTTGACATTTAAAAATAAATGTGATATGTTTATATGTCTTAAAATTTCGATCAGTATGGAGAGAAGCAAAATGAAAAAGCCAATGCTTCTTTAGTTTTATTCATTATGAGATTTCAGATTCTCTCTATCTGGGGACAAGTCCAGGTATGTCCCCTAAGAAGATACCAGATTTAAGAATAAAAGAACATATGTCAAGAGAAACGTAGAGAGTGGCAAGGGTGATCACACACAGCATAACGCTCCTTGTAAAAATCACTCTTGGATATTAACAGAAAGTGGCAGAAGAACTGGAAATGCTGGAAACTGATGGCCTGTTAGAAAGTCAGGAGAAATGGGACAGCTTTGATGAGCATATTTGAAGTTATTGTACAGACTGCAAAGAAAGATTTCACCCTGTTTTTCAGGACTGGTGAATAACTTACAAATGAATGAGAAGGCAGTGACATGCTTCCATTCATACATGTGTAAAAAGTGGATCACAGAGATTATGGGGTCAGCTGACCATATCAGAGTAAACTTTTATATGATCAGTTTCCTTGAGTGATTTTATAACACTTTTATAAAAAAGATAATAGCTTTGAGTGATCTCTAAGATATTCTTCTGGTGATGAGTTTCATGATATATACTAGCCAGACTTTCCAATTATGCCATGTATGTAAGTCAAAACTGGGATCCACATCTTCCCAGCATTGATAAGTGACAATGTGATAGTGCGTGTCTTGACCACTCATTTAAAATAGATTGCAATCCTATTTCATCTCTTGTGACACTTTCCTTTCACAGATCATGAAAGTCACAACACCTTCAAGAATTGTGAAATCACCATGGGATTTTGATTTTTTTATTTATAATGGTGTCATAGACAAGACAGCCCCGGACTTCTTAGCATTCAAGGAACATTTTAATTTATCTTGGGGAAGTATTTTTTCCCTCTTGGAACACATCGAGAAGTTTATCAGGGACTATGCAATACCAGAAGTTAAAATAAAAGGGAACAATTTGGTAGCCTTCCTTCCGGAGTTTGAGCTGAAGAATAAACTTACCAGATACGACTTTCTCTCACTGTTAGAGAACCCACTTCGTATCCAGATGATGTTAAATCTTCCAGGGCAAAGGTACAAGGGCCAAGATGGAAGGTCAGAGGCTGCCAACAAGATCCAAGCCACATGGAAATGCTTCAAGGCAAGAAAATTCTTCCTCATCTATCGCCAGCAGAAGTGGGCATCAGGTGTGATTTCCATTGCGTGGCTCTTACATTGCCATAAGACCCGAGTGAAGAAGATCCTGAAGGAATCACGTGAGAGACACCTGGAGAATTTCCGTATCCGAGCCAAGGTACACAAGGCTACCAGCTGTTAAGGCAGACCTCTTTTTCTAGACATTTCTTGCTTGAGTGATTGCAATAAGTTGTCTCTTTATCTTCCCTTTCTCTCTCCAACTACCCTCCTCGTCAACCTCGCTCGCCTTCCGCTCTTCGTGTATGATGCACAAACCCTACATGTGTTTGTACATCATATTTTAGCCCTGATCAGGAATCTGGCTTTTGCACCTGTAAAATCTATTGCAATTTTTTTCTATAGAAAAAAAATTTTTTTCTAGAAAAAAAAAGTCCCTTCACTTTGACTATTGTCGTTCTGTCAGAAGATCAATGTTTTAACTGCACTACCTTTTCTCCCTATATATACCTTCTGGCACTTTAATTTGCTAGGAAAAAAAAATCCTCTCTCGTCTACATTGCTGTCACCACTTTGTCAGAAAGTATTTAAGTTTGCAGACAGCCTTTTAATTAGTGCTCACAATTTCATTTATGTTTGCTTTCTCTTTTTTTCATTCATATTCTGTTAATTAAGTGAGCTGCCTCTAATCTTCCCCTGCCAGTAGCATCATGTAGCCACCTAATTAAATTAATTGGGGAAGATGTTTTAAGTATGTAATTAAATCAATTAATATAATTTATGCCTGGCTTAACTGTACAGTGGAAAAACAGCTGAAGTTTGACTAGATGAATCCACTACAGCTTCCTGTCACTGATCAATGCTCTTCTTGATTTTTAGCATCTGGCAGCCAACTGGAATCGCATCAGGACCTCCAGGAGGACTATTATCCATATCCCATCATTAGGTATAACACTTTTGCCTGCAAATCTATCAGCAACCTCTATTACCCACCACATTATGGCTCCTTGATTGAGTTCAAGGAAGGCCCCTTGTTTTATTCAAATTGGTCTCGGCAGGAAAATGTTCTCGACATGATGAGAGTAATAACACAGGGCCCTCGCTCGAAACGGCGTTTAATTTGGGGATTAAGCAAATAAAGTCATTATGTGGGGGCTGCTATTCAGTGGAGAGGTGATTTGCTGTAATTCGCTTTCATCTGTATGAAATGAACTAAAAAGTTGTATTTTTCCCCCTGAAATAACAGATAATGTTTTCGATCTTCTTTAATGATAGGAGAACACAGGCTTGCGTGTGTTGTTGCTGTTACGCCAATAAGCCAGGATATTGCTTGTACACTGTTTTTAATCAAATGTGCAGTCAAAATGATAAGCTACATTCTCTGAAATTATTTAGTTCTAATTACGAGCAGATGGGATGCTTTATTTGCACCTAGGGCGCCTGAGCAAAAAGAAATGCTGTGTGAACAAGAATAATTAAGAAGTTGAATAGTGTTTTTTGTGCTTAAATAATCTGCAGTTTCATGTTAATTAGCACTAATGTAATTATTTAATTACATTTATGAATTGGGGAACTTAAAAGCTGTTGTCTGCAACACAGTAGTAAAATAGGTATGCCAAAATGACATTGGGAATCTCAGAAGTCTGCACTGGAAGTTCCTTTAAAATACAAGCTGCTGTCAAAATGTGTGGGTTTGTTTGCTTGCTTATTAGTTTTGTTTTGTTTTGCTTTTTAATCTACCTAGTATGCTAAAAATTTCCTTGGTGAGACCAAATTTCTCAAGCTGACTTGGTATCAAATCTTCATATTACATATTGGCTCTTTGTTAAGGCCTTTTAAGTAGAGCGATGCATTAAGTGATCTATAGTAATAGAATTCTAGATTGCAATTTATTTGTGCCCCTCTGTGAGTATATGTGTGTGTGTACTTAGGCATAGTATAGAGCATAACACATTTAAACAGTAATATGAAAAAAAATAAACCAACACTAAAATTATTATATATTATCTTTTAAATTAGTAAAATATTAGTAGTAATAAATTAATGCAAACTTTCCTAGAATCTAGAGCGCTTACAGAAAAGTTAAGAAAATATGTTAGAGCTGCATAGAGCCTTTTAGTTTGGGTCTTTTTATGGCTCACAGAAGAAATTAATTCCTTCTTAGGATGTAAGTGAGGTAAGACAGATCTGAATTTCATTCCAAGTTGGGTTTTGTTTTGGTGGGACTAGTTTTGCACACAAAATTAGTTCACACTCAGAAATTGCACTTATAATTGATTACCACCAGAGAGGCTAATTGCAGACACAATTAACAGACCCGAGTCCCTTGGAATAAGGTGCAAGAGCCTTTTGCTTCTGCAACTAATTGTGGCCCTGACCTGGTATTATGTGGGAAATTTTGTTTTGTGTTCTCTATTTTATTCAAAACTAGAAATAGGACAAGACCCCCACTTTGCAATGTTGACAGCATGAAGGTATCACAGGCACAATTTCCACAAACTCCTTCCTTCCACCTGTCACCCTTCAAAACCCCAGTGCAGTCAGCCATGCAGAAAAGTCTGATAGAAAAGAGCCTTTGTCCAAAGAGGTAATATTTTGAAAATAACGGGCAGTAATCTAAAGTGGGTAATAAAGAATAATTTTAAATGAAAATGTTTTAAAATTCCAAAAGGGTTTGCTGGATATAGATTAGGTAGAAAAATAACCTGGTCAAAAACTAGAATTGCATTATTTTAGATCTGATATTAAAACTAGTTTTCTTCTAGAATACATATTCTCAGCTTAAATAAACACATAATAAATCTGAAAGTCTTCCCTATTGTAGTAATTTTTGTTTAACAACGTAATAATCCATCTTAAAGAATAATTGCTAATCATATATCTTCCAAGAGATAAGACTAAGCATATATATTTTTCTCAACTGACCATTTAAAAAGCCCAATTACACATTTTCACAAGAGAATAGTACGTGGGCTCTGATCAAATAGTATTTGTTTCTATAACCTATGCTTTAGGTTTTATAAAATAACCTGTGGCTATTAAATTAAATTTAGGTTTAAATAACGTTAACCTGTCACCTCATACTTATTCCACAGACATAATTCTCAAACCATAGCTTTCTTTAAAAAATGATTATGGTATACCTTTTTTGTGTGCACCACTTTCCCTGTGAATTCTTGAAGATTTTAGCTAGTCACAACATGCCTACTTTGTCTCCTGCACTAGGGACAATTCATGAAAACAAAAGTAGATAAAAATAAAGCCCTTTTTTCCTCTAAACACATGTCCCCCAAAACCTATTCAATATAGTAATTTTGTTTTCAGAGTTGAGAGGGATTCACTAATCAAAATCAGTTGGTAGACATGTAAGGTTCAGGTAGGCATTTAATACAAATCACAGCCTTGTCCTTTTTCTCTTTCTACAGGAGATTTGCAATCAATTCTGGTGTAAAATTAGCCCTAGAAATAATTACACCATGTCACTAGCCAATTAGGGCTGCACTAACTTGTTTGAACCCTAAAAATGAAAGATTAGTAGCTGATAACTGTACAGTATATTGCAGTTATAGGCATTTGGTTATTTGTTTATGCAGTTTTGCACACACAAGAATAATTGCATTCTCCAAACTGATGATCACATAGAGGACCACAGTAATGTTTTCAGTAATGCCTTTGACCACAAAATATTTATCATGTATTTTCAAGTCTATGGCTTGATAATATGAACATTAAGACAATTACACATTGCAGGGTAACCTCTTTGAAAGGAGTAATTATAAAACTTGATTGACTGTTACGTATTTGGGGTAGTATTCCTAGATGTAACAAAGTTTTAGCTCTTTTTAACAAACAGGAGAGGTGGGATGCTGTTGACTCATTGTCCAAAGAAACTGATCAGCCTTGTAATTTCATAAGATGATAGAAAAAAACCTCATCCTTTTCAGAGTATATAGGCTAATCTCTTAATTGGATATTAGATATTTTTATCATTTTTATTAATGAAATACAATGAAATACAAAAATATAACAAAATAATCTACTATGGTTCATAGCAGGAATAGAATACTAGGGTCTATTTTAAGCAAAATCTATCAGTCAAATAAGAAAGAACTGCAACAAAGAATCCTAATACCTCTAGAAAAATCAGAGGTCTAAACAAAACCTAGGAACTAATTCTGCTTCCAGTTTCTCTGGCCAAGTTATTTCCTCCACTTTTAATTTAACCCCTGTGCTTCTTTATTACAGTGCATCATTTGGTGCTACACTTAAACTCAGTGACATTTTAAAATATATTGACATTAAATGAGATAGGCCAAGTGTGGAGCAGGTATATGAGGCACCACCAGCCAATTAAACCCCCAGTGATGAGTTTCCTCTCTTACTTCTCTTCCTCTTCTAAAATAAAAATAAGGAATTATTGGGATTTTCTCTTTTCTCTATGTAATCTTTTATTTCATTGCCAGTTGATTTAATGGCTGAAAGGAATCTATATAGTTCAGCATCATTTTTTTCCCCCCTCTGTGCATTACTTCAGCAAATTATCCTTGGAGCGAACACCATTAGTGGTCTCCAAGATACTCCCTTCCATAAAGTTGTGGATTCTGTTGTTGTGAGTGTCGTGAAAAAACAACATTTTTCTACTGCTCTGTACTATCACGGAGGCCTTAAAAATAGGAAAACTTACCTTTGTGTGTAACTGACCCTATCCCAAATGTCCATGAGACAGTAGCTCCCTAACCCCACTCCCTTTTATGGAAAGATAAGAACCAGATGTCACCTCCCTTTGTGAACAGGGGCAAGGGCGGAGGACCGCAGCCAAGAGTGTTACCTCTGAAATCACGTTCTTACTATGTCTCCAAGCACACTGACATCTTTCTGCTTTCTCATTTTGGGGTTGACAACTCAAAGACGCGAGAGACTTTGCTCTTAGGGCTAAGAAATTGGGACTTTCAGTCAAATCTTCATGGTCTTCAACATGTATTTTGGCAAGTTAGCTATGGAATCCACAGTTCAGTTATGGCATTGTTATGCTAGATCCTTGAGACAGATGTACTGCCAAGATCTCCCAGATACAGTTCCCCAAAATATACACATCCTTTGAGATCAGAAACAAAGTGCACTTAAACTGTCCAATTCCTTTTCAGCCCGAATTAAAATGAAAACACATCGTATTCATCGACGTTATAGTCATCCAAGTAATTCAAATCAACACTCCTTAATTGGTTAGACCAGAGTTGGCCCCATGACCCTGTAATATTAAGTTACACAGTTGGCCTTGAGCTATCTGATGTTGCACCATGAAGTGCAGAAGCAGCACTGAACACCAGCTCATGAGCTCTTCATGAAATGGATTAGTATTAGGATATGGTATAAAGAGTCTTGCATTTACTAAGATAAAACCATACTCTTTGTCATCGCCTTCATTGTCATAAAAAATATTAAAATGTTTGTTCAGCTGTTCTCAAACTTATACTTGTAACAACTATTGAGAACCCTAATAAGCATTGTTTCCATAGGTTGTATCTATCAATATATACTGTACTGGAAACTAAAATTGAGAAACTTTAAAAATATTTAATTTACTTTAAAACAACAATAGGGGTGCCTGGGTGGCTCAGTTGGTTAAACGTCTGCCTTTGGCTCAGGTTATGATCTCAGGGTCATGGGATCAAGTCTTGCATCGGGCTCCCTGCTCAGTGGGGAGCCTGCTTCTTCCTCTTCCACTCCCCCTGCTTGTGCTCTCTCTCTGTCAAATAAAAAAAATAAAATAAAATCTAAAATAACAACAATAAATCGGTTACCAATGTAACCTAAATAACATATTTTTGTTAAAAAACCTTTATTTTCCCAAACAAAAAAATTTAATGAAAAGAGCTGTGTTGGTTGACAAGTTAGCAAATCTCTTAATAGAACATGGTTGGATTCTCATATCTATTTCTGTATTCA